ATCCCATTCTTCTCAAAATCTCACTGTACCAGTTCCAGCAAGTCACCAAATTACTGAAAGATCAGAGTGAAATGGCTGATGATGAGAGGCTTTCAGCCATTGCCATGCCGCTACACTGCTTCAGTTCCACGTTTTGGGGAAGGTCAAGGCATCAAAAGGTTAACTGACTTACACAGGATTACATAGGTGTCAGTAGCCACTCGAGAACTGAAAGAGACGCTACTAGCTTGACTCTGTGATGCCTTAAAGTATTTCCGTAGCCAGGTAATCCAGGATTGGGTTAGAAACATACAAGCCCTCTACCAGTCAGGGTCAAATATACAAATAGACTGTAAATTTAGCATTCTTACTTTTCAGCTTTAGAATGATTATTGTGATTGAATTTTTGTCTTTTCTTTGAACAAAAGATTGTGGTTGTTAAAATTGTCTTTTAAAGTTTATTTTTTAAGAAAAGACTTCAACTTCAAACGCTAGTTTAAGGATACTTTTATATTCAGCCAAAACTAGGAAACCTTGACTCTTTCACACAGCAAGTCACATGTGCTAATGAGCTCCATTTAATGATTCTCATCTGGGAACAGGGCAGCCCCACGAGGGTGTTTGGAAATGGGTGTCGGCATTTTTGGTTGTCACAATAAATGGGAAATGACAGTCTTATGAGGCTTGGAACAGTCCCAAACAAAAACTAATGTTGACTAAAGTAATAGTATGCCCATCCATCCAAAATAAATGTACACATTCTTAAAGATAATTTACTTTTGAATGTTAGGTTTGAATGATACACACTTTAGAGTCTTAGGTTTAACACACCTCTGTAGTGTACTACCTGGGAGCCTACAGATCTGAAAGATAAATATGATGATCTGGATCGTCTTAAAAATAATCATAATTAAAGCACAAAAATTGCCTCCAGACTGGCCAGAAAAATACCCTATGATCTTAGAGTGACTGCCAAACATTCTGTAATGTTGAGTTCATCAAAAGCTTTGCCACCAAAAAGCCAAGTATGGCCTTAAAGTGCTTCTTTTTTGACTCAAAGAGAAAAATGCATCCTGTTTTAACCTCCAAGTCTCATAGGGCAAAACAGTTATTTCTGAAGTTTGGTAATGCCCATTACTTGAGAATCTGCCAACTTCCAGGACTTCACTGTATAATTCAGTCACTTGGAAAGCTTTGAATTTCTAGATGAACTAAAATGCTTTAAACACCTGGACTTAGACATTCCAAAAAAAAAAAAAGGCAACATGTCTTAAAACTACCTTTGAATTTTAAAATAGTCTGGTTTTAGTGTTGCTGCTACCCAGTCATGTGAGTGTGCTAGAGGCCAAGTCTCCACCTTCCTTCCTGTGCGCTCTGATTAGACATTGTTAGTACAGTGCAGTCACTGCAGTTCGGCTGGGCCATTTCCATCTCATCTGACTCCACAAATATTCACTCATCTCCAGAATAAGCCAGTGCAGCGATAGCCCTGGACAACAGTGGCAAACAACTAAGATGTCTCCACTAGTTTTGTGGGGACCGCACCTGCTGCCCTTGCTACAGATTAATGCTTCAGTGAAACCTTTTAAGTTCTATATAATCCACTCCCGTTCAGTCAGTGGAATCTGATTAGATTTTTACTGACTTTTTTTATTTCACAAGTATCAGTAAGACGGTGCTGGGCAACAGCAAGCGTGGCTTCAGTTCAGGTAATAATAATCATCATGATAACTACCAATCATCACTAAAGATTGTCTGTGTTCAGAAGCCATGTTAGGGGCCAAAAGTAAATACCTAGTGTCATTATGCACCAGGCACTGTTTTAAACATTTTGCTTATATTAACTGATTTGATCCTCATAATTAAATAATAAGCAAGAATATTATTTTTCAAATGAGGACTCTGAAGTGACAGAAATTAAGAAAAGTACCCAAAGTTGTGCTAACAAGCCTTACAGCTGAGATTCCAACCTGGGCCGTGTGGCGCCAGAGATCTGTTCCTACGTATTACATGATATACACAAGTACCTTCTAAGTTAGATATTACTGTCTCAATTTTTCCAGGGGATGAAGCTGAAGTTGATTGTTAAGAAGATGTGGGGTTGTTTACAAATTTTCAGCTCTCTCCTTCTGGTACCTGAGAAGTTTGCACTTCTCCATATCTTCTGAGCTTAGGTGTGACTTGCTTTGGTCGGTGAAATGGGAACAGAAGCACCAGGGAAGCATTAAGGGCCTCTATACAGTTTGCCATGTTTCTTGCCCCCTGTATTGGTGAAACACTTGTCAAATGGAGCCTTTGTCATCTGGATCCTTGAGTGACTACGCTAGACAGTGGCCCTCTGCTGGACCAGTGTTGGACATAAAAAGGAAATTTTTCTTCTGGTAAGTTCCTGAGATTCAGGTTGAGGATGAAAATGGAGATTATTTGTAACCATAACATAATCAAGCCTAAACTTAATAATTTGCCTAAATAACTTTCTCAAACTCCTATAGCCTGCTAGATATATGTCTCAAATCCAGGACTCTCTGACCCAATAGGTCATTTATTTTCATTTATTATCTCTCTTGATATTGCATGACCTGCAGGAAACTAAACTTAGTTTCTTTGTTTGCCTTTTAGTTTTATGATAGTAATAAAAGTGCGTAAAATGTACAATCTATATTTATGGTTAATCCAAGATTAATAGTATGTAGAAGAAAAGTTCCTGTCATTCTCTGGTCCATGTGTTTGGTCTGGAACTTAAATATCATGATCTGGTGGCCTCTTTTCTGCCTTCCTTAATTCTAAGATTCACACTGTGGCAACGGACTGTTAACAATAATGTTAGATAAAGAAGGTTAATTTGTCCTGAGTCTTACCCAAATTCCTGACAGTGCTTATAGTTTTTATGGTGCAAGTCCGTATATGACTTCACCTTTTTTTTTAGGTTAATTGTCCCTAAGACACTATGACTCTGTAAAGTCACCCCATCATCCATGTATACATTGCTTTCTCTGTTTATGCAATCACCAAATTATCCAGGTTCTCATGTTTAAATTCAGTTGTGGAGATTTCCGAATCCACCTGCTGAATACACTAAACAACTTGGCTGTGTAGCAGTGACTACCGTGACAAAGAATATGAGGGGTTCTGAACCTCTTTCATGAGGATTATGCTCCTGCAACCTCAGTAAACAGAAGACCCTAAGGACCCTACCTTTTGCATTTTTTGAATTATTGAATGACTAATGCCATGCTGGTAGTAGGTGTTCGTGCAGGATGAAAAAGACAAAGAGGAAGCTTTATCCTCTAAACTAGCAGTTACCTTTTTAAAGACTTGTGGTTTTCTCTATTACTTGCTGAAAATTGACCATTAGGCTACTTCAGCTCTGTAAGTTTACTTTATTCACTTAATCACAAAATTCCTAACCCTTCATTCAATAACTTTTTTGAACTATTTTAAGTTTGTTTATAATCCTGCCTCAATACAGAAAAGATTAGAGGCAATTACTGTGCGTTTGTTTCACCTCGGTGAATAGCTGTTGAGTGATACTGAGCTAACTTGTAGAATGAGCTATATGATGGATAGATTGTATAGTTCTCTTTTTATTTTGAAATAATTGTAGATTTTTGGGAAGCTACAAAAATAATATGATGGAGTGAGCCTGTATACTTTTCACCCAATAGTTAGATCTTACGAAGTTATGGTACCCTATCAAAGCTAGAAAACAATGTATGTGTGTAGTTCTCTACCATTGTATTACATGTATAGATTCATATCGCCACCACTACAGTGAATACATTGACTATTCCATCACTACAAAGATCTCACTCTTTCTCCACCATCTCTAATTCCTGACAAACACTAATTTGTTCATCCTTATAATTTTGTCATTTCAAAACATTCTGTAAAGTATTTTTTAAAGACATGGACATTTTTAAAGTTATTTCTCATATGTTAACTAAAGCATTCAAAATCTGGAAGATCTCAAACATACCAAGATTTTTGTTCATATTAAACAATGATGGGTTAGTATACAGATTTGTTTGGGGATACTGTTTTCAATCATTTTTTATGTAATCTACTGATATATTAATTTTAATGTATTTTAGAGGATGAAGACTTTCTTGATAACTTGAACAGCATTAGCATTTTCTGTTGGTAATAGCAACTGGCAAATAAAGAGTAGATGAAATGACACTGCTGTGCAAAGTGTGGCTCTTCCAGTAGGCCCTGGGTTTTGTCTAACACCTATTTAATTATGGTAAGCCTTTGGGTTGTTTCATTCTGGAAGTGGAGATTTGATATAAATCCAAATGTGACAAACTTTCATTACAAAAAATTTTGACTTTCCATTTAGAACAACATGGTCAATCGCTGTATTAAGTTTACATGGATGTGTACTATGTAGGAGAATTTTACAGAAGATAAATTCCTGTAAGATATATTCATTGCTGAATAGACATTTTTCCAAAGAAGACATACAGATGGCCAAAAGACACATGAAAAGATGCTCATCACTCTCCATCAAGGAAATGCAAATTAAAGCCACAATAAGCTACCACTTTACACTTGTCAGAATGGCAAAAAAAAAAAAAAAAAAAAACAAGAAATGACAAGTGTTAGCAAGGGTGTGGAGAAAAAGGAACACTCATGCACTGTTGGTGGGAATGCAAACTGCTTCAGCCACTGTGGAAAACAGTATGGAAGTTCCTCAAAGAATTAAAAATAGTATTACTGTATGATCCAGTAATTCCACTACTGAGTATTTACACCCAAAGACAATGAAAACACTAATTCAAAAAGATAAATACACCCTTTTATTTATTGCAGCATTATTTACAATAACCAAATTATGGAAGCAACCCAAGTGTCCATCCATAGATGGGTGGATAAAAGAGATGTGGGATATATATACAATGGAATATTAGTCATAAATAAAGAATGAAATCTTGTCAATGGATGGACATGATACGTATTACATGATACGCACAAGTACCTTCTAAGATTTGGAGGCAATGAGTTCCTTACCACTGGAGATATTCAAGCAGAAATTTCATTAGCCACAGTGGGTGTGTGTTATAGCAGTGATCTAAGGAACCGAAATGTTACAGTCTCTTCAACCCTGAGAGTTTATTAAATGTGTATCAACAATTCCCAAGTGTCCCACTTACCAACTTCTTGGGTATCACTTAACTTTTCTGGGCCTCAGTTTCCTCCTATTCAAAGGACTGAGAGGTGATAGTACTCACGAAGCTGTTAGAGAGATTAAATGAGGTTGAAGAACAATAGCAGTAGCTTGATTCCAAATCTCCCCCATGACAACCAAAATAACCATACAATTATAAAGGAGAACAAATAAAACTACATGGGACCTATGACTTAAACATAGGGAACAGAAAACACTGCAACTTTCAAGTCACTTATGACGGCAAAAAAGAAAAGAAATTCTAACAAAGCTTCTAATACCTGCAAACCATCCCAGGAAACCTCTTGCATAGAGAGGTAGGGTTAGGGGCCAAGAGGAAGAGGTGAGACATACCAAAAAATGTCAAACATACATTGGGATTTGGTAATTCAGAGCCTTAGCTACAGGGAAGGGCCTTGAAAGAGTTCAGGGCTTGAAGTAGCAGCCTTAGAGATAGTGCTTCTGGGGGAAGATTATAGAGAGAAAAGAGATTGTACTCCTTGGATATGAGGTGGTGGAGCGGGCGGGGGGGGGGAGGAAAATATTAAAGATCTTGCTGAATAAGATTGGTTGATTGTATTAATGTCAATATTATGATTGTGATAATTGTGCTATAGGTTTCCAAGATGCTACCACTAAGGAAAACTGCAAAAAGAGTACATGGGATCTCTTTGGACTATCTTTTACAATTTCATGGTACTCTTCAATTATCTCAAAATTAAAAGTTTTATTTTAAAACTCATTTTATTTTCATAAGGTAAAAAAATGGGCAAGATGAAACTATATTGTTTAGAAATTTATATTTGGGTGGTAAAACTAAAGAAAAGAAACTAATTGTCATAAATGTCAGTAGACTGGTTTCCTCTACAATGGGAAGAAGAGGTTGTCACTGGAAAAAAGTGAGATAGATGTATTTCCTAACTTCATGATTGTTACACTCTGTATACTTTAAAAGAATTCATTAAGTTCTCCATTTATGTTTTTTAAAAAATTTACAAGGAAAGGTACAGACCCTCCAGGCCATAGTTTATAAACCACTGTTCTAAGATACAAAGAGAACTTTGATAGTTACCATAAAATGTGGTACTAAAACTGATCTGACCACAATGCCATAAAACTGGAAAATAAAAATAGAATCAAAAAATAAAAGGCATCTCACCTGGAAATTAAAAGATCTTGCATGAAATCATTCTTGGGTAAAAAGAGAATAAAACAAAATTAATGTATTTATGAAAAAGTAACAATAGTAAAAACATTCTATACCAGAAATTTTGGAATACACTTAAAGCAATGTAAAGAATAATTTGTAACCCTATATATCAAGATCAATAAAAATGAAAGAATAAAAATAAGTGAATTAAATTTCCAACTCAAAACACTAAACAAAGAACAAAATAAGTAAATCAAATGAAAGTAGAAGGAATTATTCAAGTTAAAATCAGAAATGAATGAAGTAGAGAAGAGAAAAACAGTAGGTCAAATTAATCACAATCCTATTTCCTTAGAAAAATAAAAAAAATAGACAAACCACTAGCTAATTAAAAAAAGGAGGAGAAATCACAAATACACAAAAGTAGAAATTACAATTTGGAAATAATTATGATCCAAAAGAAAAATTGTTTAAGTCATTAACATCTACTTTTGCATGCCCTTATGCAAATACAGTTGAAAACCTAGAAGAAATGGATAATTTCTTAAGCAAGTATACTATACCAAAACTGATCCCAGTAGAGATAGAAAACTTAGACCAATTTTTACAAAAATGGGAAAAAATTTCTACCTATCCCACATGATAGCACCAGGCCCAGATGATCATACAGGAGAATTCTACCAAACCTTTCGAGACCAGACAATCCTAATGATACATAGATTACCTTAGACAATAAGAAGTCAAGAAGTCTTTTTATGAAGCCAAGTATAACATTGATATCTAAACCTGATAAAGACAGTAAAAAAATTTGTAGACCAATATCATCTATGAGATTGATATAAAAATTTTTAATAAATGAAATACTACTGAACTGACTGATAGCACATTAAAAAATTAACACACCCCATAATCAAATAAGGTTTATACTAAATGTAAAAATGCTTAATATTAGATAATAAATTAATATAATTCACGATTTTAATGTCTGTAGGTAAAAATGATAAGAATTTATATGTGTTGAAGATTGACTTTGGCAAAATTAAACACCCATTCCTCATAAAAACTTTCAGGAAAATAGTAATGAATGGCTATTTCCTTACTTAATAGGGAAACACTAGAGGGATTCTTACTAAGGTCAGTAACAAAGTTAGCAAGCCCACTATCTCCACTGGTATCTAGCACTGTCTAAAAGCAATAGTCAATACAATTAGACTAGAGAAAACAACCAGAGTTACAGGAGTTATAATAAGAAATAAATCTACCTCTATTGGCAGATGATCTGATAGAATCCATGGAATAGCCTAGAGAATCAAAGATAAAATGAATTCAAACAATAAAATATTAAATAAGGTAGCAGGATATAAAGCTAACGTGTAAAAATTGGTAACATTCATATACACAAAACATAACCAGCTAGAAAATATAATGAATGCACAAAACCATTTACAATGGTAACAAAAAATATAAAATATATTGGAGCAAATTTCACAAGAAATGCTCAAAATCTACATGAAGAAAACTATAAAACACTTTTGTAAGACACAAAAATAGGCTTGAAAAAATGGAAAGACATCTCTTATTCTTTATTAGCACATCTCAACATCATCAAGATGTCAATTCTAAGTTAATTTACAACTGTAATCTGATCCCAATAAAAATTCCAATGGGCTTTTTTATAGAGCTAGATAAGTTGGTCTTAAATGTCATATACGAAATAAACACACACAGTCAGAGAGATGCGGAGAGATGAAGAGAGGAGCAAAGTAGAAATGAAGTAGAGGGGTGGTGTGAGAGATTCAAAACATAAGAATGGCTGACTTGCCATTGCTGTCCTTGAGTGACTTGCCATTGCTGTCCTTGAAGACAGAGAAAGGGGGTCGCTGGCCAAGAAATGGAGGCAGATCTTAGAAGCTGAGAACAACCACCAGCCTACAGCCAGCAAGGAAATGAAAACATTTCCTACATCCACATGCAACTAAATTCTATCAACAGAATAAATGATCTTGGAAGATGATTCATCTTCAGAGCCTTCAAAAAAGAATGCTTGGTGACACCATGATTTCAGCTTTATGAAATCAGAGCAGAGAACCAGCCAAGCCAACCCAACATCTCACCTATAGAAACATGCAAATACTATACACAGATTGAAATGCAGCAAACAACTAAGTCTGTCAGTGAACATGAAATGAATAAATGTGGTATGTTCTGGACAAAAAAAGAATTATTAAATTATATGAAAGTTCATCTATTTTTAAAACAGGTGAGAATAGTCAAGAAAATTTTGAAATAGTATACTGGGAGAGATTTGCTTTGCCCAGATATTAAAATTGTTTCAAAGGTACAATACTTAAAATGGAATAGTACTGTCTCAGGAATAGACAAATACATTAATAAAGCAGAAAAGAGAGGCTTCATACAAAATTATGCCTATGATAGAGATCATTATACACAAATAGATAAAGAATAAATTATTCTTTAAATAGTACTAGGACAATTGGTTATCAGGAAAAAGAGATCTTCACCTCATACTGCATGACAAAATAAATTAGAACTGGATTAAAAATTAAACATTTTTGGGGGGCACCTGGGTGGCTCAGTAGGTTAAGTATCTGCCTTCAGCTCAGGTCATGATCCGAGGGTCATGAGATTGAGCCCCAGGTCTGGCTCTGCATTCAATGGGGAGTCTGCATGAGATTCTCTCTCTCTCCCCTTGTCCCTCCACACCCCTGCTGCACTCTCTCTCTCAAATAAATAAATAAATCTTTTTTTTAAGTTACTTTTTAAAAGTCAAATAGGTGAATATTTATATGATCTGAAGATGGCAGAAAATCTTCCAAGCATTACAGGAATTTTCAAAAATCCACAATACAAAGGACCAGTATAAATAAAGATAATTAAAACCTTATGTAACAAAATATGCCAAACCAAATATGAAAACAACAATTTGGGGGAAATATCTGCAAAACTTATGAGAGTGAGAGGATTAATAGACATAATATTCGAGAGACTCTTAAATAATTAAGACAGAGAATTTAATAGAAAAAATTGGGAAAACACATCAAATGATCAATCACAAAAGATACTAAGCTGACTGATAAAAATGCTTAAAAGTCTCAATAGCAAGAATAATCACAAAGTTTTCTAAAATGAAAGTTCTCTAACCTTGAAGGCAATCTCTTCTGATTGAAAAGTTAAGCCTTCATGAAATGGTCCATTGGCTTATCACTGGCACATAAAATTGAGTACCTAAGTTGGTGTGACACATCTTTTGAGCTGCTTTTTCATTTTTTCATTTTTATTTTTTGAGCTGCGTTTATTTTTATTTTCTTAATTTTTTTATTAAGTTCAGTTAGCCAACATATAGTACATCATTAGTTTTTGATGTACTGTTCAATGATTCATTAGTTGCATATAACACCCAGTGCTCATCAGATCACGTGCCCTCCTTAAAGCCCATCACCGAGTTACCCCATCCCCCCACCTACCTCCCTTCTGCAACCTTCAGTTTGTTTCCCGGAGTCCAGAGTCTCCCTGATTTGTCTCCCTCTCTGATTTTGAGCTGCATTTTTTAATAACCTTGGACTATCTCAATGGATTATAGTAGTCTATTGATCAACTATGATATGTGGTTTGAACTTGAGATTACAAAATTTTTTCCAGAATTAATGGGAAGAATGGCTGTTTTTGATGAAACTTGATGGGAATACAATTTTTTCAAATACTATTTTATGCCAAAAAACAAAAGAAAATGTACTATGACAATAAACATAAGTTCCATGGAATCCGAATTTTTAAGACATAATAGATCTCCGTGGACCCCTGCAGTCAGCAGATATGATTTCTTGAATCAAGATTTGAAGTAGGTGAAATTGACTGTAGTTTTGCTTACTCTAATTTAAACTAGCATGTTTTACCATGATGGAATCAGGGCCAGTTTGATCTTCTCCGGCTTCTGTAGGAGCACATCAGTATAGACACAATCCCAAGGCAGAAGCAGTGGACTACAATCATCTCGAGTTAGTTTTAGGAACATAAATACATACAATGGAGGGTTCTATGAATTCAAAGAGTGATGAGATAAAAGATTGTTTTCAACTGTAAATTCCAGAAGGAGGAGCTACCAGAACATGGTGATAGCATGGTTTTCTTTCCCCCTTGGTGGGATGGGTTATTTTGTGACATATAAAAAGTAAGAAGAACAAGAAGATATTAGGAATAAGGCAATAACATTAATTTTTTTTCAAGGTTGTATTGAACTGAAATAATTTTCTTCTATACTCAACTCGAAAAGAGAAGGAATAAGTATTTTTCAGTCAGGAATAAAATGCCTATCTTTCTTCTCTGTTTACAAAAGCAGTTCCCATAATCCAGGTTTAGTATGATTTATTAATAATGATACAGTGAAAGCCACCTTTGTGTTGATTAAAATTTTAGTTTTATTAAAAACTAAAAATGAAAAATAAAAAACACAAGGATAGCCAGGAAATTACTGAATATGAAGATCTGTAGGGTGATGGGTGGTGGTGGGGCTTGGGGGACAAGAGGAAGAACTGTTACCAGGTATAAAAATGTGCTACCTTTTTCATTAAACAGTATAGTATTGGCACAAGAAGGAGCCATAAGACCGATGGAATGAGTAAACGTCCTGAAATAGATCCAAATACATATACAAATCTAGTTTATGATAAAAGAGGTATCTCGAATCACTGGGGCAAAGATGCTCTGTTCAACGTATAGCATAGGGATGACTGGATAGCCACTTGCAAAAAGTTAAAGCAGATCCATTCTTTTCATCACACCCAAGAATAAACTTCAGATGGATCAGAGATCTAAATATAAAAAGTAAAACTATACAAGCACCAGAAGAAAACATAAGCGAATTCTTCTAAAACCCATGTATAAGATGAGGCTTTCTAGCTATGATCTAAAGTCCCAGATACAATAAAAGAAAAGGTTAGTAAATATGACTATTTACTAATAAAAAACTAATAAAATGTTGTGCCTGGCAAAAACATTAACAAAGTCAAAGACATCTGACAAACTAGGAAAAAATATTCACAGCATATGTCACAGATAAAGGGTTAAATCCCCAACTGATTAATAATGCTTTTGAATTGAGGAAAAATTCCTGTGTAAATCTATTTTCACCAAACAGAATGACAAAATTGAAAAACTTAACAATATACTCTGTTGATGAGATGGTGGAAAAACAGGCACTGATCAGCACTGATATTGCTGATCAATATGAAAAACGGTGTGACTCCTAAGAAGGGGAATTTAACAATATCTAACCAACTATATATAACCGAATCAAACCGCAACACAGCATTCCCTTTATGAATGTATCCTGACCACCTATCTCCAACAATATGAAAACACAAATGCACAAAGTTATTTACAGAGTATTATTTGTCATTGTCAAGCATAAGAGATTGGTTGAATAGATGACGGTACATACACACAATGGAGTACTATGCAGCTGTGAAACATAATCAGGAGGAGTGCTATGTGCTGATATGGAATGATTTCCAGGAAATATTATTGGTGAAAAAAGCAAAATACAAAAAAAAAGTGTTTAGTGTGCTAATTTTTGTGTAAAAATAAGGGGGAAACCTTAAAATACATGGCTTAACATTACAGAAAGTAACACAAGAAGCACAAACCAGAGAACAGTGAAATCGGTTGTCTACAAGAGGTTGGGGAAATTGGGTAGAAGGAATACAGGAAGCAATGGCACATTTCTCATTATATCTTTTGTACTGTTTGACCTTTGAAGTCATGTTAGTATTCTACATATTCAAAAATAAAATTAAATCAGTAAGAATACAAAGAAAGTGTTAAAACTGAAAGCAAACTGAAACACGTGAACCTAATTGTATTTCAAATGAATACTATAGCCACACTTACAGAAGGAAGGGAGACAGGCAGAGAGGGTGGGGAAAGAATAACCAATCTAAATGATTTATAAACACAGTATTTCACTATATACCCTCAGTCTTGGGGTAGATGGGGAGAGAGACTACAAACAAATCCCAAACTCTTCTTAGTACATTGTTTATTGTAATGTCATGGGCTAAGCAATTTTGAAACTCTTTTAGATGTACTAAAGGGTTTAGATGTACAAATGAGTAAATGTGTTGTTGTTGGAAACTAGAGTTCTCACTATGGAAGAAGGAAATACAAATATGAAATGCTGGAAGGCAAGAAAGAACCCTCTGGGAGTGTATTGCAACTGGAGGAATTGGTGTAAACTCATGACTTTTAAAATATTTATATGAATGTTTGTGTGCGCATACATATGCA